TATTTGTTGGTGTCTGTTTCTAGGGGGCTGGTGCTCCTCTTTGGGGATGTGTTTTCCGTTTGGTTCTTCATATTTCCTGAGTTCCTTCCCTGATTTCTTCCCATGTTGATCAGTTGTTGTTTCTTTCCTTTAGGTTTTTGTTTGGGTATTCACTCGCCTTGTTTAGTTTCTAAGCCGGGAGGTGGTGTCTGTGGGTGAGATTCGACCACTTCCTGTATGATGTGACTGTAGGTGCCATGAAAAGGGTGTGCAGGATGTCCTCCCTGTCAGTAGGTGGCGCTTGCTTGGAGGAACAGACTACACTGTCGTGTTTGTGTCCTGTTATCAGCTCTTGTTCCTGTAGAGAGGCACTCTAGTGCCTCAGGTGATCAGTGGGGCCCTGGGACTTCCAGGCATTTCCTTTTCTCTCCCTCAGTAAGGGCTGGTCTATGAGAGAGTCTGGGTCGAGCTGAGTTGGGTAAGCCTGCCCTCAGGCACCACCAATGTCATTAGCATGGGTCAAAGTTCTGTTCTCTGCTTCTAGGAAAAGCTGTCAGGGAGTGGCTGGAATGGCCTAACTCAGTCAGAAAGTCTATTGTCAGAAAGTCTATGTGTGGGGCTGTCTGAGACCTGCAGTCTGGAGTGGGCCTTGCTTCTTTCCACCCTCTCCAAGTCCACAGCTACTCCTGGGCCTCTGCCAGCAGTCCTGACCACACTCCCCCAGGCCTCCCCTGACTGTGGTTCTGGCGGGAGGTTCCCTTCATAGGAAAGCCACCTGGGCTGGGCGCACAGCCTCCCTTTGGGAGGAGGGTTGCCCTCTAGGATGCTGATCTGCCCCTGAAGGCACACACACCTCAGTAGGCTGTTCTCATATATCCCTTATGTGCCCTGGGCAATGCAAGACCTGGGTGCATGGGATCTGGTCCGCAAGTCTGACCTCTCAGCCCCAGAGTTCAAACTATATCCCCACCAGGGAGAGGAGTGCCAGTCCCAATTGACCCACAGGGATCCCAAGCTGGGTCTATGTCTCTCTGCCTCAGGGTCTTCCCTGTTCTCCTGGGATCACCATGCCAGCAACACCTGGGAGGGCTAGCGGGTAGGGAGCTCACAGTTCAAGTTCCACTTAGTCAGCTGTAGGGCCCCAAAAGGGAAGGTCCCATTCCCTGGAGGTGCCTCCAGCTGGTGGCTATATTGTCTCTCTGGGGAGCCGCTGGTATGGTCAGCAGAGGGGAGAATGAGGCAATATGGCACCTGCCGCATGGCTTGGGTCTGTGCACACTGAGGTGCCCCTAGGGATTTGGGAGCCTGGTGCCACATCCACTTCTGGCTTACTGCTCACTGGCGGCGGCTGTCTCTGGGCTGGTGTCCGCAGATCTCTCCACCCACTGGGGAGTGCACCAGCAGTCTGAGATGCAGGGGAGCGGAAACTTGGCTGATCAGTCTACCCTTCCCGCTGCTCTCCAGGCTGCTCCAGGGGTTTCAGCTTCCAGTTCTCCTCTGCAACCTCCTCCCGTGGAATCTCCCATGATCTCAGGTACCCTTCCTTCTGACCGTCGTCCACTGTATGCTCATCTTCTTGCTTCTCTCTTCTAATTTCTGCTAGAATCTGTTTTTTCTGCAGAGACACTCTTTCTGGTGGTGTTTCTCATCCGCCATCTTGATTCTCCCTCCCTAAATGTAATTCTTAAACTAGGAAAATATATGTCAGTCCCCTACAGTTAATCAACTTATGTATTGTTGGACACTTGGGTAAAATTGTATTTATTCTTGATTGACAAATAATAATTATATATATTGAAGGGATGAAATGGGATGTTGATACATGTATACATTGTGGAATAATCAAATCAGCATAATCACCAGGTCCATCACCTCAAATATTTGTTATTTCTTTGTAGTGAGAATATTTAAAGTCCTATGTTTCAGCTATTTTCAACTATGCAATACGTTATTATTAACTATAGCTATACTGTGTAATAGAACAGAGAGCAGTCTGTGATTGACCCAAGTACAAATAAAAAATATACTAAAATACTATTTGATAAAATATGTCTGGCTTTTGGTCCTCTTCAACAAATGCTGTAAGTGTCTTACCCACTGCAGAAATTCATCTGTTGACAATATTGCATATCCTTAAAACCGAGCACAGATTACAATTATATCTAGGAATCCCATAAAAAAAATTTTAAAAAGCACCCCTATACTGTTTTTCCCACCTATTATAGGCACAAAGAGTTAAACTTCACCTTAAACACTCTAAGTATTCTCTTGCCTAAGTCACTACGGTCATAGCACACATAAGTATTCTCTTGCCTAAATCACTACAGTCATAGCACACATCATTCCAAAATACTCTAGTGTGGGCTTGGATGCTCTGATCCACTGAGTAGTAAGTTAAAATTAAATTATTTCATTATGACTTACTCTTAGGTGTGGCAAACAAGACCCCATGTAACATCTCCTTACAACAGTAAATACAAGCTGATGTAAGTTAAAATAGACTCTTCAAACATGAAACCCATTATGCAGGAGCAGTTTAGAGCAGAGGTGACTATCACAACTGTGTCTGCTTTCACCTTCCCCATTGGATGTGTTTAACTGGGAAAGAGTGAAGAGCATCTCAGGGTAGGTTACTGCAAATATCATGTTGTGACTACAGACACTGTTATCACATGCATCTTACTGAAATCACTGACTCCTTTCAACCAGCAACTGGTAAATATTTTTTTCTTACAGATTTGGTTGCTATGCTCTGATAGGGGCACCTTTGAACAGGCTCCCAGCCACAGTTTAGCAAATTTATTTTAAAAAGGAACCTATAAGTATCAGTAAATATAAAATAATCATGAATTACTTGAAACATATACTATTTCCTTGAGCAAACAAACAGAAAATAAGCATGTTGCTAACTCTAGATATGAGTATTCAAAGTTGTGATATTGTGAAGACAGAATTCTGTGCTAACTTGAGCTACCCCTGCACTGATCATACTTTTCCATGATAAACATGTGCAACCATACCTATGCATGCCATCCATTTGTGCCGTATGACAGCTGTCCTGCTTCTACACAAAGATCTCATCTAACAGGTCCAGGGTGGTGGCTGCTCCACAGTGTGGCTGTCTGCACCTCTACTCGAAATGTCATGATGTGGCACATAAAAAGTAACCACTTTCAAGGCCTTATGGGATCCCCCCAGGCTGATTTCTGAGCTTCTCACTTTATTCCAGAATCACTCAACATAGGTCCTTTCATCAGATGCCACTTGTCTTGGACAGATCCTGGTTAACCTGACCAAGCCCTTGCAGACTCAGCCAACAGGGTCCCCATGTCATGTTCTCTCCAGGAGGACACCTGCCTTCTCTGCCATAATTTCCATGTCCCTTACCCACACACTGAGTGACCCTTCTCCTGTGGCCACCTCAGGGGCACCTACAGCATCCTGCACCATGATATGTGTTTACCAACACCTGAGCTTTGCAGTTTCCTTGGGCTTTACATAAATCAATCGTGTTTTAATGCTGTAGGAATTTTGAATTAAAGATACTATAAACAACTAAAATCAACAATGTTACTCTAGCGGACAATAGTCGCATCTTACCTGCAGATCCTGTCCCTTCCTCTACAGTCCCTGATATTCAGTGCTGTGTCACCACCTTCCAGTGTGACTCTGTAGCCATTTCATAGGCAGGAAGTGCACAAGGTGGCAACAGCTCTCACACAGCTAATAGTTTCCTACTTACAATGAGGACACATCTGTGTCTAAAAGTGACATGGAAATAACTCACGAATGGAAATTTCTTCATAAGATGGATGCTGTGCATAATTTTACACAAGTATCTCCCATGATGAAGACTGATTTATGGAATATTTTTTTTGTGAATCCCACATGGTTTAGAGACAAATCCTTGTTCGATACAATACACAGGTTCCTTCTTGATAACGATGGATATCAGGATAAAAACAGAGTAATTTTGCTTTCCATAGGAAGGAAGAAGACATAGGGTAGGGCAGTCAGGTGGAGCAGAGGGTGAAGGATGAGGAGGCTCTCGGACAGGGGACCATCTTGGACAGGCAATTCCCACAAGAGGGGCTCAACTGAAGGGTGTTTTGCCTTCATGTGTAGCCACAAAGACGCCACTCACAAGGACCTGGATGCCACCACAGAGCACTCAGCACACTGAGGTTTCCATCTGTAGGTCTCCCTAATGCCACAGGTGTTGAATGTGATTCTGTGAGACTCTCAGTGGACACATCCCATGTGGAACAATCAATCTTGTTCTCACAGCTACTAATGGCCACTTACATTTACAAAGTGAGCCCATGTCCAGGTGACAGCAGGAGGGTCCCAGGAATGGTGGATGAGACAGTCTCATCAATCTTTCCCAGGTCCCACAGGAGCCACAGCCTGGGCCACAGCTGAGCTCCAGGTAAAGGGCCTGAGCCAGAGGATTTAGACACAGAGACCACATCCACCATTTTCTGGCAGAAGAAGGAGAAGAGGAAAGTATGAAAATAGAACGTAGAGAGAAATTAGATGGACTTACAGAAACAGATACAACTGTGTCATTTGTGTATCAGAAATGTACTACTTTAAATGAGAGTAAAATTTGAAACCATTAGGTCTTATGAGACACTGATCCTATCCCAGAGCCCTATGGATCCTAATCTGAATCCCTAAGACTGTCCCTCTTAGGGAATCCCACTGAGGTGTCTGCTCTGAGTCTGGTTGGAAAACACTCAGCAGATTCCCCTGGGATTCCTTAGGACCCTAATCCATCTGACTATATCAGGGTCATTTCTGCTCATGTGAGCAACATTTGTTCTTGTGTCTGGGTGAGAATGTATTCCTTTCCCACAACAAGACATTTCTAATTAAGACACTTCAATGACTAGCACAGAGCCACCAAATAAGGTCCCATAATGAAATTTGTAGAGAGGAAGCCTGAGACTCTGACAGGAAACCAACCTCCTACACCTACACCTACACCAGGCCTCCTACACCTGCCCCTCAGTTCTTTCTTAGGCTTCCAGGGTCTCACACTCCCCCCTCATGGCCCCACATGTCCCTGCAGGAGGAGGTTTGTGTCTGGGTTCATGCTGATGTCCCTTCACTGTGTCTCTAGCACAGTAGTACAGGGCTGTGTCCTCGGCTCTCAGACTGTTCATTTGCAGATAGAGCTTGTTCTTGGCATTGTCTCTGGAGATGGTGAATTCGCTCTTCACGGCGTCTGCATAGTATGTGCTACCATCATTCCTTATAAGTGCCACCCACTCCATCCCTTTTCCAGGAGCCTGGCGGAACCAGCTCATGGCATAGCTGCTGAAGGTGAATCTGGAGGCTGCACAGGAGAGTGTCAGGGAACCCCCAGGCTGAACCAAGCCTCCCCCAGACTCCACCAGTTGCACATTGCACTGGACACCTGTAAATACAGACACATCCTGGTCAGAAACTGCCACACACACCCATTGTTCTTCTCACTCACATCCATTGAGACACCCAATATCTTTAGTTCTCCATGAATTACCTTGTAACAGAGCAACAAGGAAAACCCAGCTCAGCTCAGACTCCACGGTGAGTCTCTGTGTTCAATCTTGATCACCGAATGGGGACACCTGGGAATGCCAGGGCTGGGGCTCCTCTCCCAGAGCTGCAGGGTGAGAGCTGAGCTGTTTATCATCAGCAGATTAAGGGCCCTATTTGCATGTCCCCTGTTATATAGCAAGCTCTGGCTGGGACGCCTGAGGGAAGACAGGGCCTAGAGAAAAACTGTGTGACAGTACTATGATTAATAACTATTGATGGCTTATCTAATTTACAAATACACATAAAGCATGTTTTGCTTGTGTGAAGTTTCCTTTCATTTTACACATGTAAAATTACCCAGGAAGCATACAGAGGTTTTGTCAAATGTGCAGGAACATATATCCGGAAAGAATTACTATAATTGTCTAGCCTATGTTCCCATCATTGGAACCCACTGCAGATGAGAGCTGGACATGTATACAGTGCCTTATAGAATTTTCATTCTGTAATAAGAACATAAAGCAAATTTTTTGTTTTCCCCTTTTTGCTTAAAGAATATATACAAAATTTGAAATGGAAGGTCAATGCAGATGCATTTTCAAGTAGCTAATGTTTCAGTTATTTTTACCTGTTTATCCATTACTCCTTCCATATCAAATCATCTATTTAACTGTTCATCTTAACTTAGTGAGGCATAGTTGATGTACAGTGGCCTTAACATAGTCAAAGTGTACAAGTGAGAGATGCTGACGGCAGCACCACCATCTTCAAGATATCAAGAAAATAAATTCCCAACAATATTCTCACTTGTTCTTTTAAAATTCCTCCATCTTTCTTTTTCCTCTCCCTCCAGTTACACAGGCAACTGCTAAATTACTTTATGGCACTTTAGATAAGTTTTCACTTTCTAGAATTTATAAAAGTGGAACCATGTAGAAGGCATTGTTTTGGCTTATTTACTCCCTGTACATACTTGTAGATGCAACAATGTTGTAGTGATGTGACACATTTATTTGTATTAAATATGGGTAATGTTCTAATGAGTCATTTAAAATGCTTATTTTTTAAGTTACTGGTCAATACTTTGATTGTTTCCAATACCTTTGTATTAAAGATAAAGCTTCTCTTCACCAGGGAGAAGTAGACAGCTGAGTAAAACTCTTCTTATATCAACCACAACAACAGCAACATCGTCAACATCTATAAAGCATGACTTCAGAAGCTGTAGATTAACACATTTTATTTAATATTTCACATAGCAGAAGTTATATGATGAACTTCAAATCTGAAATCTATAGAGAGACTAGTACTTGTGGGGATAACCAGGACCAGAGCATTAGCTTATTAGGCACAGTCTACCAGATGGCATGTGGGCTAGGACAAGACTATACTAGATATAGGCACTGGATCACCTCAAGTGGCATTTGGTAAAAGGATTACACTTTAAATTTTCCAGTAGTCACATAACTGCAGAATTCCTATTCTATTTCCCCTGAATTTTCTTTCTCCAGTATAAGGGAGACATCATGAAGTTTTGCACTCACAGATGATTCTGTCCAAAAGAGAAAGAGAACACGTTTCTGGAATGCATTCAAACCCAACTCCCCTGTCTCCTACAGATCTATAGAATTACCCTTCAGGGGACAAGAGGCAGAAATCAATATCCTAGCCCACTGGGGAATCTCACAGGAAATGGTAGTGGAAGAGATGTCACCATTATGTTCTGCTCAGAAACAGGACTCCTCTCCATCATGGGAACAAAGGCTTGATCTTCAGGGACAGGCTGCAAACCTGGAGGCTGAACAGGCTGATGGAAATGTGCCTGAGGTGTTGCAGACAAGAACTGGGAAAAGAAATTCACTGTGAAGGTTAGGAGAGCAGCACCACCTCTTCAAGAGGGACAGGACAACAGGCAAGGGCACAGTGGAGCCAAGGGCTAGGAACCCAGCTCAGGGAGGAAGTCAGAGAAGGCTGCCTCAGGTCAACCTCTTCCACCACACCAACCACTGTCAGGTAAATGCAAAATCAAGACTAACCTGGGCAAGCAGAAATAGATTGCCTCTAGAATATGTGGTATAAACACAAAGCCAGGCAGGAAACACAAACTATGTATCAGCGGAGGTGTCTAAACCCTGTTGTGCTCATGGCACAGAAAACTTTCAGCACTTGGAGTCACTTCAACAATAAATTCCAAATGCACATCTGAGTAGAGTCACACAAACTTCCACAGTTCAGGACTGAATAGTGTAATGTGTGGACATATACAGGGAGAAAAATACACAAAATGAAATAGTATGTCAATGGCAACCAGCAAACACAGTATGTCTGGCTAACATACAAAATCCTGGGCTATAATAAATTAATATCAAAAAAATAATAATGAGATTGTGAATAATGGTGTAGTAGGGGTGTCCTCCTTGCTCTCCGCTCCCAGAGTGGAAGGTGAAGAAAACGGACAACCACACGCGAGTGATCTGCACTTCCACAGGACCAGCTTCACAAGCCTGCAGACATTCAACAGAAATAAAGGGATAAGACAGTCTACAACCTAAAGCAAAGGTGAATCGGTTATTCTTCCACAAAACCCAGGGAATCAGAGATATACAACAGGGAGGAAGTGAGGCACGGTTAAGCCGCTGTCAGCTGGCAGAGGCATCATCCCTACTTGGTGCTGAGAGACGCTCCTACCTACACCGAGTTCCACGTCCATGTAGGCAGGGAAGGGCTTGAATTTGGTGGGAAGTGGTAGCACCAGGCAAAGCTGTGTGGAGAGGAGACTAGAGCAGGGAAAATTTTGAATTCTCTAGAGCACACAGCTGAGGCAGTTTCAGGTGGGGGTGGGTCTGACCCAGCAGCCACTCTCCACGTGGCAGGAACCAGAGCCCACTCTGGCATCTCCCTAAAGAATGCTTCCAGGTCCAGGATAAGGGGAGTATACACAAAAGGAGGCTTTCATATTGGATATAGTTGAGGTTTTGGATGGCACTGAGTGGACAGAGTGTGCAAAGCTAGACTCCTTGATCCATCGGGACTCCCCTCCCTCTGCTCCTGCAACAACACTCCTTTCTCCCCATTCTGGCGGATTGACTTGGACTCCATATTTGGCAGGGAGGTGTGGAGAAAGTGCTGGTACACGCATCTGCCCCACCAATCTGATATTAGATGGTCTCTCACTGAACAAGTAACCCACACTCTGTTTTCAGAGAGCAGAACCTGCCTGGGCAAGGCATAGCTGTGAAGGAGGCTGCCTTTTGTAGATATAGGGTGGAGAGACTTTACCACCCACACCCTCCTGCAACTTGGGGCCCAGTGCTTCAGAACCAAAGGTTTCTGTCCCCGCCTTGGGGCAGAACTGAGATAGAGACTGTTCCCATTCCTGCTGCTTATCTCCATTTGTGTAATTAAAGAGGCAGAAGATGAAGATGGGTGGGTCCGGCTGTCCCGCCTTCCTGTTTCTGGACAGTCTCTCCTTGTACAAGTCTTCCATGCTCTGTATCCAGTGAGCAGAGCCCACCTGGGCAAGGCTTAGCTGCGAAGAAGGCTGCCTTTTGTACATATAAGGTGGAGAGATTTTACCACCCACACCCTCCTGCAACTTGGGGCATGGAGCTTCCCAGCAAAGGTTCTGTTCCCACCTTGGGGCGGAGCTAAGATAGAGACTGTTCCCATTCCTGACGCTTATCTCCATTTGTGTAATTAAAGAGGCATAAGATGGTGATTGGTGGGTCTGGCTGTCCTGCCTATTGGTCTTTGGACTGTCTCTCCCTGCACAAGTCTCCTGAGCTCTGTGTCCAGAGAGAAGAGCCCGACTGAGCAAGGCTTAACCATGAAGGAGGCTGTCTTTTGTAGATATACAGTGGAGAGACTTCACCACCCACACCCTCCTGTGATTTGGAGCCAGGTGCTTGGCACCAAAGGTTCTGCTCCCACATAATGGTGGAGCTGAGATAGAGGGTGTTCCCATTCCTGCCACTTATTTCCAGTTGTGTAATTAAAGAGGAAGAAAGTACAGATTGGTAGATCTGGCTCTCCCACCTGTCCATTTCTGGACAGAGCAATCTCAAACTCTATCATAGTGCCTCACTCTTCAATCTAGGGATTGAGAGAAAACTCGCACTCACAAGAGTTATCTAACCTTCGAATCTCTGAGCCTAAACCTATTATTCTCTATAGACATAAGGTGAATACATTAGACCAAAGACTACCCAACAGAATCAAACTCCTCTAAGTCACTACAGGACCAGACCATATATGCCCAGCCCTGCCATAAATCAATCCTTAGGAACACCAGAATTTAGCCAATAACCCAGCCCCAGAACCTCCAGTCCTCGACAAAACACCCAGATGAGAAAGAACCAGAGGAAGATCACAGGAAACATGAAGGAGCAGAGAGAAACGTCACCTCCAAAAGATAATACTCGACCTCCATCAAACGACGCCAACTTACATCATACGATTAAACTGACGGAAGAAGTATTTCGAATGTGGATTTTCAGAAAGCTCAAAGGAATTGAAGAGAAAATAGAATCACAACACAGAAAAACCTCAAGAACAATACAGGAAATGAATGAAAGATTCTCCAAAGAAATTGAAATTATTCAGAAGAATCAAGCAGATATCTTGGCAATGAAGGAAACAAACAAGGATCTCCATAATACAGTAGAAAGCATTAAGAACAGGTTGAATCATGCAGAGGGAAGAATCTCAGAGCTTGACGATTGTGCCTATACACTAAATAAATCAGAGGAAGAAAGGGAACACAGAAACAAGAAACAAAACCAAAGCTTACAAGGAGTATGGGATTATGTAAAAAAGCCAAACCTCAGGTTGATCAGGATACCCGAAGGGGAAGAGGAACAGTCACAATGGCTAGAAAATTTATTTCATGGAATACTC